ACGGCGAAACAAGCCAAATAAAGATGACCCCTAACTCCATTGGGTGCACGAGTATAAACTGTTTCCCCTAACTCCGATGAGTATACAAGTATAAACTGCTTCTCCATGTAACTCCATTGGGTGCACGAGTATAAACTGTTTCCCCTGACTCCGATGAGTATACGAATATAAACTGCTTCTCCATGTAACTCTGATGAGCTCTCCATGTAACTCTATTGGGTGCACGAGTATAAACTGTTTCCCCTGACTCCAATGAGTATACGAGTATAAACTGCTTCTCCATGTAACTCCGAAGAGTATAAGAGTATAAACTGCTTCTCCTTTTCCTCCGAAGGGTATACGAGGTTAAACTACTTTCCTTATTTTCAGCAACGGGAAGTTCCTGAAGAATATTACTCTTAATATTCTTAAGGATAACCTAACAATGTGACCGAATATAATTGGATTCAGATTTTCCAAAGAGCTGGGGGTGGAATACCTCAAATTATTCCAATGGGAAGTTCCTAGAGAATATTACACATGATATTTTTTTTAAGGATAACCCAAAACCGATTAATTATTCAAGATGAAAACCAATCATCAGAATAATTTATTCTTAATCATGTTTAAGAACCTCCCACTGTGGTTATTTAATCATTTCCAAGATGATTAAAACCCTTCTACAGTGACTTTCGAAACATTCTTTCGTTGAGATGAGATTCAATGACTTTATCGGGTCAATCTTCCCTCACGAAACTCCCACGGAGTAATTGTGGAGTGCTTAATGATTCATGGTCCTCCATCATAAAATCCCTCACTGATCAAATTAATTGATGATGGGTCTACCAAAATTCTTCACGGTTGAATTCATTCAAACTCTCACTGTGCCTAAACCTTTAACACTCCCACTGTTGAAGTCCTGACACGACATCCAAAATTTCAATCTATTGATCCATAGCGATTATCAAACCCCTTCGTGTTAAGTCATTATCGCTTGACACCAAAAACTACCACCAAAATCCCCTCTCGATTCCTTCCAAGAATGAGAGGTCCACAAATTGAATGATCAAACCTTTAAATAGTTAGGACCATCTCAAATCCCTATTTGGTCAAACCTTTAAACAGTTAGGACCAAAATCAGAATCACCTCTCGATAAATGAAAGGTTTCCACACAAGCCTTATTTAGTCAAACCTTTAAACAGTTAGGACCAATGTTAAAATTCCATCTCGATAAATGAAAAATTTTCTTTTAAATTGGATAATCAAACCTTTAAATAGTTAGGATTATCTAAATCCTCTTGATTCTCAGAGTGGAGATCCTACTCTTAATTTCGCATTTTTAGATTCTTAACGTAGAGATCCCACTTTGAGTTTCTTTTGCAGCGGGAGATAGAATATAAATTTCTTCCTCTCCCGCATCAGGTTTATCTCCACCAACAAAAAAGAGATCAGGAGGTAGAATATAAAATTCTTCCTCTCCATCATCAGGTTCATCTCTACCAACAAAAAAGAGACCAAGATACTCCAATAGGTACATGAGTTTAAACTGTTTCCTTACCCTTAACAGGATGTTTCTAGAGAATATTACTCAGAATATTCTCAAGGATAACCTGACGGCCTCTTAACGGGTATACAAGGTTAAACTACTTCCCGAAAACTCTAAAAAAATACATGAGTATAAATTGTGCTCTTATGAAGATTGATACAGTGATAAAGAATCTAGTATCAATTTGGTGATAAAAGCTGAACTCACAAGTACAAATTCCAGGTTCGATTCAAGATCTCGACAACGGTCAAGCGATAAACGTAGTACCGAAAGAATCTTAACTATTCTACAAAGCACTGGATAGATTGAGAGATAAAGAGGTCAAGAGTTGAAGCTATTTACGGGCCCCTCTCCATGATCTACTCAACCAAGTATTGAAGGGACTGTAAGTCAGACCTGGCTTATCCAAAGTGTCCCAGACTTCTTTATAAAAGAATAAGTCTGGAATACTTTGGAGGGGGTATCTGTAGGCGTCAAAAAATACTGAAAGATATCCAAATACAGCTTAAGAGGAGATCATCCAAAGATCAAAAGAACACAAGAAACAAGTGTTGGCTGTCTCGCATATCCAAACAGTGTTTGCTGTCTGAGACGCCTAGACAGTGTTTGCTGTCTGGGACGCCCAGACAGTGTTTGTTGTCTGGGACACCAAGACAGTGTTTGTTGTCTCGCACATCCAGATAGTGTTTGCTATCTGGGACGCCCAGACAGTGTTTGTTGTCTCACACGCCCAGACAGTGTTTGCTGTCTCACACGCCCCGACAGTGTTTGCTGTCTTGCACGCCCAGACAGTGTTTGCTGTCTGGGACGCTCAGACAGTGTTTGCTGTCTCGCACGTCCAGACAGTGTTTGCTGTCTCACATGCCCAGACAGTGTTTTCTGTCTCGCACGCCCAGACAGTATTTGCTGTCTCGCACGCGAGACAGTCCTGAGGAGTTCAGAAACCGCCAAGACACATGGCCATTCACTGTTAAAGAACGTGAGAGACGGTTACAAACTTAAAAGATACCCACTAACCTCATAGAAAATATGGTATTTAAGTGGTGGGATGGCGATTACAAAAAGGGGGATCCAAGGCTGAGCATTTCTGGAGCAATTCCGCGCACAGAGCAGAGAGGCTTGGGTGAATTTCAAGAGTTAATATCCTTCCAACAATTAGGAGATTCCTTAAGATCTAAGCTTTGACTTGATCTTGAGAAGAGTGTTCATCTTACCTTGATAAGATATTCACTGACTCTATTCTTACTTCTAAACGAAGGAAGAATCTCCAACACCTTCACGATTCAATCAGAATCCGTGATTCGGTGGTCCACGGGCTAACGCACCCCCGACACAGGCAAAGTCCCACAAAAACAGAAATCGATAAACGATTTCTGTATTATTTTCTAGAGAGTTGTAATTTTCCTTTTGTTGTGTAAGAGAAGTCTTATAAAAAGACTATTTCTTTTGAATTTGTTGTAATCGACTGAAGATATAATGAGTTCCATAATGAGACCAACTTTCGACGAAAATAGTGAGGTACCCCTGTACATCTGAAATCCGAACAATATTCACAGCAAGTGCAAACGGTTCTCAAAACTCTTCGTAAGGTACTTATTATTAAGAATCTCCCATATCTTCATTACAGACGTCACTCCAATCACATCATACTTCAATTCCTATTCTAAACAAGACTTGATCACCCCACAAACATTCCTATTCATCTTTTCTCATACCACATCTTCATATTTTGGTGGTCTCTCGTGGACCATGATGGTCTCCTTCAAATTCTGAGCATTGAACGTATCCTGTATGTTGCTCAATCACAAACCAAAATTGATTTTGCCATTATATTTAACCACATTAATTTTAGTGTTCTGAAAATCAACTTGAACTGTACCCGCTGTCTTGCTGCTTTGACCAACTTCTTCACCCATACTCATAGACTCCAATTGTAAAGAAAAATCCAAACTTTGATAGAATTAAGAAGTCACCCACCTGAACCCTAGATTGGATTCCAAATAGATCTCCTAACCACACGAGAAAAGCGAAATCTTCAAGGCAACTCCACAACGTTATCTTCACCGAAGCCTAGAATTCCAAGAACTAAACTTCCACTACAAATCTTCCTCCACCCAACGCCAAAACCCTAGATCTGAAACCCTAGAGCTCTGATACCAATTTGTTGTGCGCCTTTACGGAAGCGTGCTTGCACACCAAGCGAGTCCATAAGCCACGAGACAAGATTAACAAACCAATCACGAGCACAATCTAAACAAATACGACAAATCAATCGCAAATACAGAGATATATATGGTTCGACAATTTGCCTACATCCACAGGGAGAGGTAGGGAGATTTCACCATATCGATGAGAGTACAAAAGGGTTACAATCACTCAAACACTCAAACAAACCCTAACCAATAATCTCACAACTCGCTCATAAGTTCTCCCTCTCAAAGTACTCAGAATATTCTCAATTCTCTGATCAACCAAACCGTAAAATCGTGTTTCAATATATATCAAAACACAAAACAAAACAGAATAGGAAACGAAGCCCAGACCCAAACCCGACAGGGGGTCGACCGTCGAAACCATCGTGGTAGACCGAACAGAACGACAGAAACCAAAAAAACTCTTTACATGGTCCGCGGTCAACCGCCGAAGTATTCGCGGTCGACCAGACAAAGATCCAAACACTCCCTGTACTCGTGCACGTTTCCGGTCGACCGCACATGTTGCCACGGTCGACCGGCGTGCGGTCGACTAGCCAGAGTTCAAAACTGACCCTGCTTAAATTTTCCTGAACTTCATCGTCGTCGTTCCCAACTCTACATTGATCTTACTCTTTCCGATTATTCTTTGTTTTTTCTTAGGGCCATCTTCTTCCTATGATGCATTGATGATGCTCTTCCCCTTAGCTATTTCTGCTAGGTTGGTAAAGATCCTGCAACTTATCATCATTAATGGTTGTATGAGCCTCTTAAAGATAAAAAAAGGAAGATTTTTTTTGCCCCCAATGTCGAGATAGAAAGTTTAGGTTTTTTTTGTGAATTTACACAATCAGAACAAGGTTTAAATACGAGTAAACTCTCATCTGAGAGAAAGTGCCTAGCGGGCGAGCTAAATTACAGATGTTGATTCCACCTAAACCCATTTGCCCACCGTACCCACCCACTAAAGTTATAGATAAGCTTTTGTGTATTTATCTTACTTAACATAAATTATGAAAATTATTGAAGCATCAGAGGCCATGTGTTAGATTGATCTCGGTAGGATTTATCCATATGTGTTTAGCATCATTTAGGATCCATACCCGAAAATGGTGTCAAATTTAGATATTTCGAGCTCTATCGTGTGATGGGCCCCCATTGGCAGCGAGCTCAGTGCATCTCAACGGGCCTTTACTATATTGAAACCGGATCTCATAAACCCGGATCCGACCCGTTAACGCCCAAACTCTATATAATACCATAGCCGCTAAGTTTTAGGGCATCCGATATCTGGTCGATCGCTATCGTCGTCTCCTCTCCTTTTCTTCTATACATACTCCACAAATCGAAACGCAGCCGATAGAAGAAGGCGAAAAAGGGAAAAAACAAAAACCCTAACCCTAGCTCAACCTCAATGGACTCGAAAGAAAACAACACCTCATCAGAAGTAGAGATGAAGATCGAAGAAGAACAAGCGGCGGCGGCGGAGGAGGCGGCGGCCGACGGAGAAGCGGCGGAGGCCGAAGAAGAAACGAAGGAAGAGGGGAAAGAATCCGAGATGAAAGAAGAGGAAGAAGCTCAGAACAATGGGGAGGGGGATAATGAAGCTCCCTCAGCCTCTAATAAGCCTTCGATCGAAGGCGCTAGCCCCGGGTATTTTTATTTCTATTGTTTGATTTTTGTTTCTTGTATTTAGTTTTTAGGTCCTAATTCGGGGTTCATTTATTTGGTTTTCTAGGAAGATTTTCGTTGGGGGGCTGCCCAAAGATACTACCGATGGTTAGTTTGCTCTTTGCCCTAGTTCGGTCTTTTTAGGGTTTTGTGCGCTTTTCCTTTTTAGATACAGGTTAGGCTCAAGATTTAGAGATTGCTAGAATATGCCCAAAAAGGTTGAATCTTGACCAATTTTGTGGGATTTTCGTTCAGTTTCTTGTTTTTTCTTATTCTGGTTTAATTTTCAGATTGAATTAAGTTATATCAATGCCAGAGCTAATATCGATGTTTGTAGTTACCGAAAGATGAGCATCTAGCTTGCTAAAAAGTGTAAAATTTTAGAAGCGCGTACTGCTAGTTTATCTGCATATAAATTCTCTGGATATAAGCTTGGTTGACACTAGATTTTTAAATGGAATTATAATCTTAGACTGATTATTATTGTTTTACCTCAATTGACTGATGCTGCAGAGGCTTTCAAGGGTCATTTTGAGAGGTACGGGAAGATAGTGGATTCGGTGATAATGAAGCATCGAGGGACGGGGCATCCCCGTGGGTTCGGATTCATTACTTACGAAGACCCGTCTGTAGTTGATGCAGTCATTACGGACACTCACAAATTCGAGGGAAAGCAGGTGAATAAACATTTCATATAAAAATGAAAGTGTAAATATATAAAATTTTTGTTAATATTCGAAATCCTTGTTTCTTTGAGGATGAAACCTCATGTCTCATTAAAATTAAGCGCTTTGAAATGACTATTGCGGCCATGACTTATCTGTTCTTTAGGAAAAACATAGAAACTAAAAGATAATACACTTTCTCATTGGGCAAACAGAAACATTCATAACCATGATGCAATGAGTCATTAGTGTATAAGACCTGATCAATTCTGATTCATGACCTGTATGGGTACATGGTCTTTGACACTCTCATAATGGTCATTATGTCTTACATGGAACGAAAACATGTAATATATATTTGTTTCCTTATAATGCTTTATTGACTGGATGAACAATGAAAAACATAGTAAACCGAAACTTTTGCTTGTTATATCTACTCAGCTTTTGCATCTTCTTGATGCCTACCCATCCTTATGTAGTATTTATTAGAGAGAAAATTTTCTAATAATACATTATCTCTGAGGGTATACAACACCCCCCCTCCCCCCCAAAAAAAAATCCCTCCTCAATACTATGAGGATCACAAGGATTTCATACTGTAGCGGCAGTAACCATAATATAAATGATAAACCAGTTAATAGAAGTAAGTGAGTTACGTTTGTCATTAAAAACGTAAAGCTTGTAAAACCCCTGTTTTTATGATATATATTTTTTGGTTTCTTTGGTTCCTACGTCGATTTTCACAGTGTGTAGTATCTTTTTATCTTGTTGATGTCTAGTGTTAAGTTTTTTATTTCTTATTTGTTTGGTAGTTTTTGATTTCTTATTTGTTTGGTAGTTTTTGATTTCTTATTTGTTTGGTCTATGCAGTCTCTTCATTTTTTATTTTTTTAATTTTATTCTTACACCTTATATTATCTATTTTTAATTAAAAGTTAGTGCTATTTGCTCGAGCGCACTCCTGACCACAAATTTTTTTGAAGATATACAAGATGAAAAAATATATTTGTGAAATTTCACATAGAAAATGTCAAGGACTTAAGATAAATAAAATATATACTACCAAATCACAAGATAAAGTTTTAATCATTGAAGCAAATCAAGTTGTCCATCAAAACAAAGCAACTAAGCAGCTAGAACACTTAAGGAGTTCACTAACATAAAAGCAAAGCAAGCAATCTAATAAAACAAAGCAAATAAGTAGCAAAATAATAACGTAACGACTCTAATCATCCTCATTAACATTATCATCATCCCCTTCAAAGGGAATATCCTCCTCTTCAGTCTACTCATCATTAAACTCCTCTTCATCTTCTGACTCGGAAACTAGCTCCCTCCTTGACGTTGATCCAATACCATTCAAAGATCCTCGAAACCTACTAGTCGATCTTAAATATATAGCATCATCTTCTTCAGCTCCCATCGCATCTCCTACAACACCATATGTAAGGTTGTCCTCGCCCTGCACCAAGTCATTCTCTGCATTTTCACCTTCACCGAACTGTCCTAACAACCACTCTTTAATATTAAGCCAAAGAAAAAAACAGTTAACAATCAAGAGCGATAAAAATAAAAAAAAATTAAATTAAGAACTAACAGCTAGGAAGAGTAAGTTAGTAAACATTAAATCTCTCTTTGTAAGTTAGTTAAGAATAAAACCTCACATTTTAAAACATCAAGCTTAGAAGAGTAAACTTAATTAACAGTTTACACTTAAACAGTCAACAACTAAAAACTCAGATTTTAAAACATCAGAAAAGAAAAAAGAAATTAGTTCATCGCTGTCCTTAATTAAGAGAACACAAAACAAAAAGAAAAAAAAGAACAGAAAAGAAAAGGAAAAGAACATTGCTGAGGAGTAGAGAAAGAGAACGCAAAAACAAAAAGAAAAGAAAAGGAAAGAGAACGCAGAACGTACCTGCTTGTTGAGGAGAAAAGAAAAGAAAAAAAAAGAAAATGCGAAAACGAAAAGAAAAAAAGAAAGAGCAGAAAAACAGCGATCGGGAGAACGTACCTCCTGGCCGTCGCTGCTAGCTGTCGATGCTTTGTTGCTGCTAAGTGGAGACCGAAAAACCCTAACAAAGAAATCAGGATTCGGGAGTGAGAGGAGCGACAAAACCCTAACAAAGAAATCGGGTTAAGTGGGAAGCGGGTTTATACCCAATAACCCGCTCAATAAAAGTGGGATTCTTACATGTTATTCAAGCCGTGCCTTGTCAAAAGCGGTAGGTGTTGCGGGGCGCTCCCCTGGCGCGCTCGACGCAAGTGTAGTGCCCCGCACCTGCTGCAGGGCACTATGCCGCTACGCCGAAGTGCGCGCCTTGCTGCGCCTTTAGAAACACTGCATCTGTTTTCACTTTTCACAATATTTTCACCTCGTTGACGAGCTTAAAGAACCTTATATACATGCTTATTAAAGGTGCTTCAGAAGCCTTATGTGCTTGTGCCATCAAATTTCAGGAAGTTATTCAATCCTAAATGTGTTAAGCTTGCAATTCACGATATATATTTTTTCATCCCAATGGGATTTTGCATTTTGGCCAATTCCATCCACTAAAAGTATCATGTTAACTAAATAGTATTAAGCTTCTGTTATATTTGGACATAGATTAAAACCCATCGTCAACAAATTAGTTTTGTCTTCTCTAATACATGGATGTGGATGAAGGTTTCAAGTGTAAATGCTAAAAAATCTTCCATATATAACATATAAAAATTTTTGATTTCATCATTATCTTTGCATTCAAATTAAATCAGATTATTTAGGATTCAGATCTAAGATGATTGTAGAAGTGTTGAGAAGCAGATTACTTGCAACCAACATGGAGAGATGAATAGGCTAATTTGGGATTCTTGTTTGCAAAGTTGCTTCACAAGATGATGCAAGTAAAAACCACAAACAAGTTGCTTGTAAGATTGATATAGGCTTTATTTTAATCCTTTTCAACTTTAAATGTCATTTGGTTTCTATTTTCCTTGTTCCCTTTGAGTTTCTCCTTTTTTCATGCTTTTGATCAATTGTTTTTTTTTTCAATTGTTTTTTCCCCTAATGTTTGACATGATCCCATTGAGTTCTTGAGAATTTTTGGCTTGTTTGCTTGCTACTGTTCATGTATGATATGGAATAAGTAGTGGTATCACGCTCTCCAGTTTATATAAAATTGGAGTACAAGTTGAAGCAAAATATTTATTTGAGACACTTATTTATGAGATAAATTTAATAAATGAAAACAGTGTTCACACAATTGGGAGTAAAATTTTAATATTGAAAAATAAATATACTTTGTTAGAACTTTGGCATATCTTACTAACTTCTGGCGGGCAAAAATTTTCTTGTCTGCCTACGATTTAAGCGGAAGGTGATCTTTAAGGTTGAAGGTGGCAAGTAAATTCGTACTCAATAATGACCCTTGGGATGCCATTATGCATATTATTAGTGTATGACAATCAAACATGAACAATGAGTTATTTACAATTGCCATTAAGAATGTACTCAACACTTATAGAATGTACCTTATGAAGCAACGTTAACATCTTCATTTAAATTGTTCTAGGTGGAAATCAAGAGAACGATACCCAAAGGAGCAATATCTGGAAAGGATTTCAAGACCAAGAAGATTTTTGTTGGTGGCATCCCGACATCAATAAATGAGGGTAAGCCATTTGTTGTTTTTCTTGTCCATTATCATCTTTTAGCATTGGGGCATGTAAACTAATTTGATGGGTGGATCTGTGTCAGATGAATTTAGGAATTTCTTTTCAAAATTTGGTGAAATTGAAGAGCATCAGATCATGCGGGATCATACTTCAGGCCGTTCCCGTGGTTTTGGTTTTATCGCATTTAATAGTGAAAAGGCTGTCGATGAGCTCTTGACTAAGGGCAACAGGATTGAGTTTGCTGGAGCCCAGGTTAGTTAGAGAGTCTAGTATCCTTTTTTTTTCTCTCCCTAATTTGTATCTTTTCAGGTTGTAAAGTATGTCTTATCAAGCAAATTATGTTTCTTCAATCTATTGTAGTGACAATCATAAGTCATACTAATTGAAGTTCAGAAAAAGAAACTTTTGGCGGATCAATCAACAAACATTTTGTTTATGATTATCTGAAAACCTCTAATCTTAAGCTTGCCAAGATATTTCAGAGATTGCTTCATGTCTTAATTAACTTGGTTTGGAAACACTTAATTTGATTCAAGTCTACTGTACTAATTGATTTACATGTGAGCCTTAATCTTTGACTCGGGTCTTCCTTAGCAGCCCAGTTGTTTCCCTAAAACTAACTGTATCTTCGGCAATGATGGATCCGCACCATGTGTCCAGTCTGAATGAAGCCAAGCATTATTCAACTTCTTAAATGAAAAAGCTAGTATGATGAGACAAGCCCATTAGGTGCAAAGACAATGCTTTGACTAGTAGTAAATGAATCAATTTTAGCAGAATTCTGATCAGGCTAAACTGATTTAACTTCTAGTTTATTTTAGACTATTGAATGTTAATATTTCAACCAAATTAAGTCTTAAGTAGACTGATAGCAGAAAATGAAGTCCATATATGTAGTTTTACACTGTAATCCATGTTAACCTGCTGTATGCCATTATCTGCACCTTTATTCTTCATCTAGGTGACTCACCAAAATGCTCTTGTGCTTGAAAACTAAATAGTGGCAAACTTGAAGTGTTTCTGTGGAAGATACTCTATAGGGATTCTTTAGAAGGTCTTCTATAAAGCAGAACTACTAAAACATGCCTCTGTAGTTTGGTTTTCTTGTTGGATTGTGAGGATTTTATCTGATCAGTGAGAATGTTTATGAGATTAACCTTGTTAAAAGTTCTAGTGTACTTTCTGACGATAATGTTGCTAATCGTAGGTTTAAATACATGTTCTTACAGGTAGAAATCAAGAAAGCTGAACCAAAGAAGCCTGGAAGTGCACCTGCACCACCCCCACCCACGAAGCACTATAGCAATTCTAGACCTGGTTTTGGGAGAGGGTTTAAAGATCAGCATTATGGCGGTGCTGCAGGTCGCGGCGCTGAGTCTGGTGCTTACAGGTATGGAAGAGGTTCTGGAAGTAGAGCGAGGGGTTACGGTGGATATGGTGTGAGTGAGTTCGATGGTGGATATGGAGGGTATGGAAGCATGCCTATAGGATCTTATCGAAGTGAGTCTTCTGTAGGGTTTTCTGGTCGTTATGGAGGGGGCCTTGGTAGAGGTTACGGTTTAGGTGGTTATGATGGACCATCTGAAAGCTATGGGAGATATGGTGGTGCTACTGGTTATGGTAGAGGTTATGATTCGGGCGCTGGCGTTGGTGGCTATGATTCTAGCGCTGGCTTTGGTGCTTATGATTCTGGCGCTGGAGTTGGCAGTTATGGAGGTGTTGGTGGTTATGGGGGAACAGGCACAGGTCTGTATGGT